AGGCTGACCTGGCCGTGTCCCCAGTGCCACCCCAGTGTCCCCAGTGCCACCCCAGTGTCCCCAGGCTGACCTGGCCGTGTCCCCAGTGCCACCCCGCTGTCCCCAGTGCCACCCCAGTGTCCCCAGTGCCACCCCGCTGTTCCCAGGCTGACCTGGCCGTGTCCCCAGTGCCACCCCGCTGTCCCCAGTGCCACCCCAGTGTCCCCAGGCTGACCTGGCCGTGTCCCCCCGGCGCGGGCGCTGCCGGGGCGGCTCTGCCGGCCCCTCCTCGTCGGTGGCCACGATGAAATCGTAGAGACCCCGGTTAAACTGGGCAATGGCGTGGCACCTGGGGACAGGGACAGGGACATCAGGGACAGGGACAGCACCTGGGGCACCTGGGGACAGGGACAGAGACATCACGGACAGAGACAGGGACATCAGGGACAGCAGGGACAGGAGCAGCAGGGACATCAGGGACAGGGACAGAGACAGGGACATCAGGGACAGCAGGGACAGGAGCAGCAGGGACATCAGGGACAGCATGGACAGCACCTGGGGCACCTGGGGACAGGGACAGGGACATCAGGGACAGGGACAGCATGGACAGCACCTGGGGACAGGGACAGCGGGGACAGCACCTGGGGCACCTGGGGACAGGGACACCTAGGGACAGCAGGGACAGGGACAGAGACAGGGACATCAGGGACAGAGACAGGGACATCAGGGACAGCAGGGACAGGGACAGAGACAGGGACATCAGGGACAGCACTGGGATCTCCCAGGCAGCTGCAGGTTGAGGACTCAAACAGGAATTCCCATAAATCCCACCCCATTATCTCCTCTGAGAAATCAACGGGACCAGGTAAAAACCCCGGAATTCAGGACTCAAACAGGAATTCCCACAAACCCCATCCCCTAAATCCCACCCCAGCGGTGTTACCGGGAGTGGGTGGGCAGCTGGGGGTTGAGGGCACAAATGGGAATTCCCATAAATCCCACCCCATTTCCGCTCTGAAATCAACAGGATCAGGTGAAAATCTAGGATTTAAGCCTCAAACAGGAATTCCCATAAACCCCATCCCCTAAATCCCAGCCCAGCGGCGTTACCGGGAGCGGGCGGGCAGCTGGGGGTTGAGGGCACAATGGGAATTCCCATAGATCCCACCCCATAAATCCCATTTCAACTGTGAAACCAGTGGGATACTCAAGTGAAAATCCAGGATTTAAGCCTCAAACAGGAATTCCCACAAACCCCATCCCCTAAATCCCAGCCCAGTGCCCCGTTACCGGGAGCGGGCGGGCAGCTGGGGGTTGAGGGCACAATGGGAATTCCCATAAATCCCA